TTTTTTACTTTTACGGATTGTTAGATGTATGCTGATGGAAAAGAAGAAATTGATCAAGACCAATTTCGAGACTTACTCTTAGCTGTTTACAAACTTGCGATGGATCATTATCCTGAAGGTCCTCAGTCTTGTCGTTATATATTTAAGACTGTTCAATCTGTTGTTGATTCTGCAGTGAGTTATTTTGCTTAATTTAAATTTATGCGTWTGTTAATTTAAGTTCATTTTTAGTTTCATAAAAAATTAACACTAAAAGTGGGTTATTTAACCAATTGGATACTTCAACATTGCCCACGGTTAATCGTCCTACTTCATCGGTATATTGTCCACATCTTATCCACTGGTTACAGATCCGTTATTGAAAAGTGCCCATATTCCAAACCTAATGTATGTATATATTGATATTTAGATATTATAATTGATTCCTATTCAGGGAAAACAATTTAATAATTTTGAATATGATTCTATTTTGTTATTACCTCATTAGGAAAACGAACCTAATGTGAGTAAATTTTACTTAATTGTTTGTGATCTAATATTTATTAATTGACTCTAATTTATTGTAGGATCTCGAATTGACAACACCAGTTTTAGAACAAGAAAACTTGTTCAATACCGAAAAGAGTCCATTATTGCCGTTGTCTCAAGTRTGGATATTATCTACAACATTACCAGCATTATATACTCAACCAATTTTGCATTCCAAACCAACACCAAACTGTTTCAACACGCAAAACTTCTTATCAAAATTTGTAAGTTTTTAATTAGTATTTGAACTCGTTTTTGGGGGGAAGCTATTTTCTTGACTCAAAATAATATTACAAACAAGTTCATTMTCTGAGTTTTTTATCCTCATTAACATATACAGTTATTTGAACATTAAATTATAATAAAATGTAAAAAATATTAATTTAATGTATTACTAAAATTATCATAACATTATATTTTACCATTACATTGTCTTTCTATAATTCACACATGCTGTACACTTAAATTTAATATTTAAAATTTTCCTGATCATCAAATTCTTGTTATTTATCATAAAATTATCATTCAATAAACATATTACAATTAAAATCAAATACCAAATAATGAATAAATGTAGATACTGGTTAGGTTAAGTTTAGTTAACATTATCATCTAGTGTTGATTTTTATTTCTAATAATCTTATTAGAGCACATCATTTATATTATATGTAAATATTAGTACACTACTTATAGTATATTTTTCCATAGAAAATATTGTATTCTATCAACATTGGATGATTGAAAAAATAATTTATGTTTTCACTAACAAATAATAATTTATTAAAAAATTATTTTTATTAGTTCAATGAGTTTAAATGCATTTGTTTTAAGATATTTTTTCTTTAAGAAGTGTAAACACTTTGTAAATTGCGTGAAAGTAGTATTTCAATTTCACCATATATTTAGTATTAACCAGTTTAATATTGAATCAGAATTAATAAACATAACATTCTATATTCAAACAAAAATACTTTAGATACTGATAGTTGACAACCCTACTTTTAAAACCAGTTTTAGTAACTGTAAAAATATGAAGAAAATAATACAATTATTATTTTGCCGCCTTCATTACTAATTTTTCTGTTAGGTCGGTTTAACTTACATTATTTATATTAAATACATAAATAATATTATATATACTTAAATTAATTTTTTTTAAT